ACCTCAATACGCCCCTTCATTCTTACGTTTCCACTGGTCCAAAGTCAGCTCTGCATTGTCTAGCGAGTGATCATATGGCTGTGCTTCCGTCTCCTCGTCTGGGTCTCTAAACTCGGTGAAGTAAGGCAGCGTGAGAGCTTCTGCAGCAGTTACCCGTTTTTCTGGATCTACCAATAACATTCGCTCCAGCACTGACACGGCTGAGTGAGAATGATGACAAGAGAAAATCCATTTGGAGTTTGTTTACCAAAATGAAAACACATCGAATTAAAGGCCTGAGTATGTAATACCTTGTGGATTACTTGTGGAAAACACCTTCTGAAAGTCTTTCTTTTCCACTTTTCCAAGGCTTTTGAGGTAGGATTTTGCCTAAGAAGAGACAGAGAGGACAACGAATAGGCGAATAGGTGTTTATTAACTTAATACTGTACCAATAAAGTCCAACAAAGCACTCAAATCTGCCTCCAGTTCCTAAAATGTCATTGTTTCAAGCACAACTAAGCACCACAACAATCTTTAGGACCACAAAGTTACACATTTTTGGAACTCACATCCTCAGAGTCTAGTTTTGATATAAATTCCTGTGATGGTGTTCCTATGAGCTTCATGATCTCAGTCAGCTGATCTAGGTCTGAAGAAGAGGTGTTAAGGCTCAAATAAGAATAAGAAGGTACAATAAAAAAGATATTAGGTTAGACAAAAGCAACATGTTTGTTTTATAACTTGTGGGTCAACAAGGTGAAAGGATACGGTCACTGCCTTTAAAAAGAGGTTTTCCTTGCAGCATCTCTGCCATGATGCAGCCCACTGACCAAATGTCCACTGAGAAAGAAGAAATAAAAAGCAGAGTTGATAAAACGCCAAACATTTAGTAACTTATTCTAAAACAAAGTGTTACAACAGCCCCACCTAGTGGATAATAACTGAGACAACACCGGGCTTAACAGTAAAACTTTTCATTTTAAAAAGATATTCTCAGTAGTTTTGGCCACTTTCTTATCTGACCTTACTGACATCTTCTTTTTGTACAATAACTTTAGCATATTTTAATTAATTCTTCTCAATTTAATTTAATTGTATTTATTGTGTGAATTCACAACAACAGTCACCTCAAGACACTTTAAATTTTAAGATAAAGATGCTACAACATTAGAGGGAAAACCACCACAATCAGACGATCCCCTGAGAGACAACACTTAGCAACAGTGGGACAGACATCTGCTGTGACGTTTAGGATGAAGGGAAAATCGTCCAAGTTACAGGCCCTTCAAAGACATAGATTAATATCAGGGACTGTTTAAGTGCCTTATTTTCCAGCATTTTTATTCCCTAATAACTTTAGTAGTAAATAAAAATTAATTCTTCAGGACTGGACACATTTAAACTCTGTGACAAAACATCAAAAACTACAAATTAAAGCCAAAATCTTTCTTTTGTTCACTAAGATTTATTCTATAACCAGCTGAGAATCAATTATCACAGGATTTATCACATTTTTGCAAATTGTAATGTGTAGATGTTAACTTGGATGTTTAGTCTATTTTCTGATAATTAACCACAGAAAACTTAAATAGGTCTGCTTTCTGTAAACATTCATGGCTTATGTCGTAATATGAAAGCACTTGTACTCTTTTTGGATCCTTCTGTGTTTGTTTGAGAACCCCAACATCTATTTCTCAAATATATCACTATATCCATCCGCTGTCATAGACAGCAGTCACAAAGGGACCAGTGTTAACTGCTAATACTGCTCATGTTGTCGCAGTTATATTGCCATTCCTGACGACTGTCTCGACAACTTGAACATCTTCAGCTGGGGCTCATGAACTGGAGAATAGCTCTCATTTCTGCAGGACTGTCTTACCGGATCCTAAAACTTGCCCTTTTCTTTTTCGCTATGAACATCATTGGGTCAAACACTGAACTGAGAGGAGGTGTGCTGTGCTCAAAGCGTTGCCGTAGGGTCAGGATGTGATTGCTGTTGTAAACGTTAGTTATAAACCGGGTCTGGCTGCAAGTTTTTAATCATTGCTCCAAGTCTGTCAC